CCTGCTGCAGGGTGCCGTGTGTGTGTGTGTGTGTGTGTGTGTGTGTGTGTGTGTGTGTGTGTGTGTGTGTGTGTGTGTGTGTGTGTGTGCGCGCGCGCGCGCGCGCGCGCGCGTCCTTCATAGTTTCCTCCCATGCCTGCTTTTGCTTCTGGTCCCCATCAGGCAGACTTCCCGGGGTCTCCCCTAGCGGGATTCGAATTTCAAAGCCGAGTCCGGTGTCTGTGCTTGAGCAGGTGCCCAGCGAATGCCAGCCAGATGAGATGAGTCTCCACACAGTTGGGCAAAGGCTCTGAGAGCCGTTACTCTGCTCCTGCTCTTGGAAGGTGTAGCTAGAGCAGAAGGCCCGATGTGGACAGTGCTTTGAGTTTTTCTGCCCAGCATCTGTCTTTCCTTCTGGTAAAAGCTCTCTGGTTTTTCTCTGGGGAGTCACCTTTCCCACACCCTCCATCTGTGGAGATGGTGTGGCCCTAACCTCCCACTCAGCTCCGGTGGCCCAGAAGGAGGGAGGGAGGGAGGGAGGGGAGAGACTTTCACACTCCTGACTGCAGCATCAATTTTTATTGGGCATACCTGCTTGATGATGGTTGGGTACTCTATGGGCTTTTTTTTCCCTCCCCTGTTTCTGACCAATTGTCCATTATCTTGTATAGTTAATTGTCCTCCCACCCAGTCATTATGGAAGGAAACGCTTCAGCTCCATGGGTGTTGCTCAGACAGTAGGGAAAAGTCCAAAGGTGCTGTCTGCAGCCACCCCGAGTGGGGGCTGAAGAAAAGTCAGGGAATGTTTCCAACAACACAGAACACCATTATCTAGCCACTCTCCACATTCTCTCTCCCTGGAGTTTTTCAGTCACACGAACAGTGGACTCCACTTTTTGCTTCAGCCTGTCCGTATCATTGGCTGGTAGACCGGTCCCCTTGGCTGATCGGTCCCAGCCCCTTTCCTGTTGGTGTGATGAAATTCCCTGACGGTGGCCACTGAAGAGAGGAAGAGCTTGTTCTTGGTTCACAGAGAGTACAGCCCCCTCATGGTCAGGCGATCCCAGCAGCAGGAGAGAGAGCTGGTTACATTCCTTCCTCAGGAAGTGGGGTGTGGGGGGCCCCTGAACCTAAGTCCCTCTTCAGGGTCCCATCTGTGGAAGGCCAGCTCCCACCTTTTTATAGGGTTCCTATGAGGAGTTGAGAGGAATAAGAAACATTTTAGATTTAAAAAAAAAAATAGTGGAGAGGAGACAGACAGAAACACAGGATAGCTTTGGGAGGACCTGGGTCAATACCCAACGGCCCCTTCTGTCTCTTCAAAAGGACTTTTTATAACAATGCCAAGGGGCGGGGCGAAAGACCTCCTCCTTGCTAGATCAAAGCACACCACACAGTCAAGTGTAGACCTTTCCAAAACCTGGTAACCACGGCCGTGGTCAAGTCATCCCCTTATGCAGTCCCCTTCTCCCTGACTTCCACCTTTTCATTCACTTCCAGGACCCTGCTGGAGGAATCCTGCTGCTCACAGTGGGTGTGCCTTCCCATCTCAGTTAACCGAATAGAGATAATCCCTCACAGTCATACATTCCAGGGAAGAGGGACATCCAGGCTTTATAAAAATACTCCAAGGAAGAGAACTGTCCCATATGGATTCCAGTGCTTAGAGCCCTAGGGGCCAACACAACTCAGAGCCCCTCTTAACCCTGTAGATCCCACTGACAAGAGTTTCATCTTATTTTGACTTTAGCTGAAGTAACATTTTAAATGCCTCATAGGTCAGGCATAAGTTGGTTTAGTGATGGGGGCTTCTCTATACCCACCTCTGTCCTTTCTATGATTTTCTCTATGGAAGAAGGCTGTGGTGGATGAGCACATTTTGATTATGGAAGTTTCTAGAAGGATGAACACAGCAAGAAAAACAGACTCATACAGCATGGTAAATGGAATTACTTAAAGCCATTTTTATTTTTGCGCTCTCAGCAACACTTTCCATTGGGCAAAAGACCAGGGACCCAAACGTACACAGACACCAAGATGTGAGACACAGGATCTAATATGCTGGAATGGGGCTGGCATCCCTGTACACTGAGAATCCTGTCCCAGAGTCAGTCTCCTCCTGGGAGACAAGGGCTGGCTCGTGACACACCTGGGTGAAATGACAGATTTTCATGCCTACCAAGTTTTCTTCTTGTCGCTAGGGTCCAGTGTTTCCACAAACGCCTTAGATCCACGATCACCATGCTTCATATTTGTTTAGTGCATAGAGTTCCCCCCAGGGGCATGTCTGTCATAGCAATTAATGTTCATAGCAGTGTGAGGGAAGGAGGTAGCCGTTCTTGTCTCCATTCTTCAGAAGAAGAAACTCGCCTAAAATCAACTTGCACAGTGTCAAATAAGTAAACACAGAGTGGCCAGGCATGGCTGAAGAAGCCTGTGATCTCAGCATTCAGGAGGCAGAGGCAGAAGGATCATTTCTAAAGTCACCCTTGGCTATATAGCAATTCAAAGCCAGCCTAGGTTGCCTGAGAGTTCCCCCCCCCACAAGAAAATCCCACCCCCCCCATTGAAATAGGTGTTTGGACTCTCAATCACTTGTTCATTCAGTTAGAACAGGGTCTCTTTTCTTTATTCAAATTCATTGTCACTGTGTTTTTGACATTAATTCTGGAGATTTTTTTTTGCCATAAATATTACCTATTAGGTTGATCACTTGATATCTATCTACCACTGAGTTTACTTACTCGAATAATACAGAAGATCAGTCCATGGAGAACCACAAAGTTGAAGCTAATAATATCACTGAATTCTATCTAGACTGAGTGCTGTGTCTGTACTGGCAGGCAGGTGCAAAGAACCCACAGGTACCGAGAGAGACATTCTCCTTGCAGCAACCAGGAATGAGAAAAAAAATAAAGCATGAAGCATTCTTCAAAATTCAGTGTTATTTACCATTGTGTTTATAAGTTACTTAGAAATCACCTTGTGTACCACCCATGGCACATGCTTTGCACACTGCAAGATCTCTCTGCTAGCATGCTCTGGCAGGTGGGGCAATGGTATCATGAAGCCAGGGCATTCACAGTTGAGGCTGGACAGGAAAAGAAAATGCAAGGTTAAAACTCTTCCAGATAGCATCCAGGAAAATCAAAGTTCTTGCTCAAGATTTGCTCAAAATAGGTATAAAAGAAAGCCACATTCCATAAAATAGCCAGTTTATTTCCACATCAGGGATGGAGAGGGTGCACCTATGCCTAGGATCTGGGTTCATTCTCAGGCTCCGACTGGTCAATACATATACAAGCAAAAGGGGTGGACTATTGGGAAAAATTTAAATGGGACAAAGGTCTAGAAAGTCTTGCGTGAACTCTGGGGTTGCGAAGGGAGATGGAGAGAACTTACAACATGGGAAAAATAAATCTATGGGTTCAACTTACTAGACAACCTTAGCATGCTACAAAGATTGTACTTGATTTTGTAAACACCAGCATTCACTGCTCTCCTTGGAAACCACCTGCTCCCCCTAAATCCAGACCTCCCAGCGACATGTCGTGAGGTTTCTGGAGTTCATCCCCACAGAAGAGGAATGGATGCAAAGGGTTTGCCGAGAACCGAGACATCGAGACACCGTTTTCGTGTTTTTTATCAGTCAGTGACGTGGATGGGCACGTCTGTGCCGTTCTGATCCCCTATGTTCCGGACTTGGTGTTCGTTTGCCAGGGGCCTGCCTCTGGAGAGTCCTGGAGGAAAAGATCTCACAGTCTAAAAATCGAGGATCCATTCCTCAGAAACTTCTTGGGCTGTGTGCAGATGAGGACCATCCTCCATGCTCCCGGCTGATGGCTGGCACTTCAGGAACTGTGTGGTACAGAGAGGAGGAGAGAGACATAGACAGTGAATGGGCTGAACTTCTGGGATAGATTTTTCAGGGCTCGCTGCTCTTCTTTGATGTACTGTCCCTGACTAGAGGATGCTGTCGTGGGCTAGCAGGCTTTTATGCTTTTGACTGTAAGCACTGACTTACTTTGGAAAAATTTTTTTTTCACCTGAAAAATGTTTTTAACTTTATGTGTGGTCTGTGCAAAAACCCTGAATGATACAGATGGAATTGCATTCACTGAGCAGCCCAGTGCCTCGTTCTCTTCACTCATGATTTTTAGTTCTCAGTGTTGGGTTGTATATATCCTGTGGGCATTTTCTTCCACATTTAAATCCATGAATAGGCAGGTGTGTGTGTGTGTGTGTGTGTGTGTGTGTGTGTGTGTGTGTGTGTGTAGCGTGTATGTGTATGTAGCCTGTGTGTGAGCATGTGTACACGTGTGTGTACTTAATGGGATCATGTTGCATTCAGTATCCACTGCGGGTTGGTCTCAGGACAAGCACTTGATGGAGAAATCGAAGCAAAGGTGTGTGGGTAGAAAGAGGAAGATCGCTCCAGGCGCTGGGGACAGAAAGTGCCAAGGCTACAAAGCAGGAGGATGCTTGTGGTGCTCCCACGGAAGAATCCGATTGGCTGGAGTAGAGAATGCAGGGAGAGGTTCTGTGAGAGGAGGGAGGACAGGCAGCAGCCAAGCCGCACAGAGCCTTAGAAAGGAAGGTTCCGGGTTTGTGTTGCCATGTGGCTGTCCTTCCTAAACAAAGCACTGTTTGTTTAACCTGTGCCATGAAGGACATTCAGATTCTTTTTAAAAAAGATTTATTTTATTTACTATATAAAGTGTTCTTTCTGCAACTTTGCCTGTACACCAGAAGAGGGCACCAGATCCCATTACAGATGGTTTGTGAGCCACCATGTGGTTGCTGGAAATTGAACTCAGGACCCCTGGAAGAGCAGCTGGTGCTCCTAACCTCTGAGCCATCTCTCCAGCCCCTCCCCCCTGGACATTTAGATTCTTTTAAGGGCCTCCATTGTTCCAGACAAAGCCTCCTGGAGCATCCTCGCACAGGCAAGGCTGGAAACCCTGGCTGCATAGAATAACCCAGAGAGCCTTAAAACCCACTGTGCCTGCCCTCAGTAGCTGGAGATTCTAGCTTAGCCTAGGGTGAACCATGGGCTAGCAGTTTTTAAAGCAACCCAGCATGGCAAGAGCGGAGAATCACTGCTTCTCATGCACCTCTGTGCATTTGCATCGCGCGTGCGTGCGTGCGTGCGTGCGTGCGTGCGTGCGTGCGTGTGTTCATCTATGCTTGTGAAGGTCAGGGTTGTACCAGGTATCCTCAATCACCTCCTCACCTTCATTTTTGAGTTGAGGTCTCCTACTGAACCCTTCCCACTAGGACAGACAGACAGACAGACCAGCAAGCCCAGGGATCCTCTTGTCTCTGCTTTCCCGGTGCTGAGATGATAGGAGCATGCTGTGGCAGCTGGATCTTCACATGGGTGCTGGGGAATCTGAACTCGGGACATCAGGCTCGCACAACAAGCACTTTACTGGCTGAGCCATCTCCTTAGCCCTCAGGGTGGGTTTTGAGGTGCGGAATGGGGGTGTTGGTGGGTACATGGGAACACGGTTATCTCCTGTATCCCAAGGGGATTGGCTCTAGGTCCTCCCATACCCGGGAATACCAGCATCCATCCAGACAGCCCAAGTTTCCCACATAAAGTGGCTTGTCACTCACGTAGAACCTGCATGCATCCTCTCATCTCTAGATTATTTATCATTCTGAATATACAATGTCAATGTAGAGATGGTTGCTAGGCTGTATCGTTTAGGAACCCACAAGAAAAATGTCCTCAGCTCGTGTGTGATGAACATGCAGTATCATTCTAGAGGGTTTGGGCCTGAGGGTGGTTGAATTTAAGGATGAGGGACCCACAGGTACAGAGGCCTGACTGTCCATCCAGAGAGACAGCCGCAAAGACAGTCCCAAGATGCGGAAAGTGGCCAGTGTTTCACACGCTGCCGACCTTGATATCCGTCTTTTCAGCCGCTTCCAGCTGGCCGAGGAAATAACGCAGCATTTAACTCATGTTTTAAACCGCGCTTCCTTGCTCACTAGTGAGGTTCTTCCTTTCTTTTTCTTTGGAGACAGACTCTTACCCTGTAGCCCCAGCTATCCTTAAACTTGAGGCGATCCTCCTGCCTCAGCCTCTCCAATGCTAAGATTACAGGCCTTAGCTACTGTATGGGATGTATTCTGTTTCTTCATCATATCCCACTGGCTTATATTCTTTTCTTCACAATTAAAAAAAAAAAAACTACCATTGTGGGATACTTAAGCTTTGGATTTTTCCCTGTCTTAGTTTATCTGAGCCTGCCCAATCTTTGAGAAATAGGTCATATCCCTATTTTTATTAGGAATAGAAAAACTCCAGTGAAGACATATTTATATAAAAACAATACCCAGGAAGTCTTTACTGTGTCCAGTTACACAATAAAGAACATAATTTTGCTTTTATTTACTCTCTCTCTCTCTCTCTCTCTCTCTCTCTCTCTCTCTCTCTCTCTCTGTGTGTGTGTGTGTGTGTGTGTGTGTGTGTGTGTGTGTGTGTGTACTCAGGTCAAAGGACAACTATAGGAGTTGGTTCCTTCCTTCCACCATGTGTGGTCCTGGGGATCAAACTCGGGCCATCAGTCTTGGAGGCAAATGCCCTTAACCACTGAGCCATCTTGTCAGTCCCAGATTTGCTTGTGGGCTTTTGAAAAAAAAAAAAGACCAGGTTCTTGTTTTATGCCACCTCAGAACGTGGCATGTGTCCCTCCACTCCTGATACAGCTACAGCCTATTCTGAGGGCAGGAAAGGATGGGTTCCTGCCCATAGCTGTACAAGACAGATGCTTTCGCAATGGAGAGTAGGTTAAGTTACTGTGCACCTTCTGATGGGTACCCGGGACACTGGGCCCCCTTAGATGGCAATACCTGCTTACTGTGCACCTCTTAAGGGGCACTGGGACCCCTACCCTTCTTAGATGGCAAGTCCTTAAAGGAACCTTTGGGCACAAAGGCTCTGTGGCTACAAATGACAAGCAAACACTAGTTTGTGGAAGTGTTTCATTTTATGAGACGGGATCTCACTGGCTATACCAGACTGGCTTCAAACTCCTGACCCTCCACTCTCAGTTGAGACTGAAATGAATGTGACTCCATGCCCAGCCAAGCGATCACTTTGGATACAGTTAGGAATCAATTTTTAGCCATTTGGACATCCCCAAGACCACATAGAGGTAAGGTCTGGGGATCATATTGTGGATTTATTTTACTTAATGGCAGATCCATGCTGTTCCACAAAGACCTGAGAACCTGGCTGCCACGACACTCAGTATTCATGATCGTGGATGGGAATGCAACCCTTACCCTCTTAATGTGAGCCTAAAGTGTGTAGTGCCTAGGCCAGCCACCGGGATCTCTACACACACAGCCAGTGCCTTGGCTTGCAGTCCCTTCCCATCCTTGGAAATGTGTGTGTGTGTGTGTGTGTGTGTGTGTGTGTGTGTGTGTGTGTGTGTGTGTTGCCTGGGGCTGATCAGATCTACCTGAGTGTGTAAAATGGCACCGTCTTCTAGGAACTTCCAACATGAAGTTTGATTGCACTCAACCACAGAGAAGATGTAAGATGTGCCTTAATTGGGTCACCCGAAAATCCCACATTTGTGGCACAGCACAGTCATTACCTTTATGCCCAAGCTTTGTCTTGCTGCTAACAAAGTTCCACTGGTCCCATGGGACATCAGACATGTGGCCGTGAGACAGGCCATGTGAGGAAGGAGGAGAAGATGCGGGAGATGAAGTGTCAGCGGGTGTCTAGGGTGTGGCATGACTTCTGCCCCAGGTAGGTGAGAAATCCCCTAAGCCCTTGCAGATAGCATCACTTAGAGAATCCTTCATCCTCTCTGACCCCCATTCCTGACATAGAGCTTCAAGTTTTCTTGGAATTTCTTGGGTAATAAGATTATCTTTTGTTCTAGCAAACAACTCTTGGTTGGTCCTAGATAGCCTAGTGATGCTGGATTGTTGCCACGGAAACCAATCATGTGATGGAAAGGTCAGTAGTTTTCAGTCCTGTTTCTTTTTCCCTAGGAAGGGAAATAGGTTGAAAGCTGAGTTGATATAATTCTTCATGCCAGCATTATGAAGCCCCTGTAACCCTTCAAAGAGACAGGGTCTGAGAAGCTTCTAGATTGCCGCCCACGTGTGCCTGAAGGATGGTGCACACCGAGTGGCAGGGGATCTCCCACACCTTTCCTCTCTTCCATCGGGATGCTCATCTACACTCCCTCAGTGAGGTACTTCATAGCAAGTAAGGACCCACTAGTGTTTCTTGAGTTCTGTGAGCCAACTACACAAACAAAAGGAGTCTGAAGAGGGGTCATGGAACCCTGGTTTCTGTCTGGTAGAAAGACTGGAGGCTTAGGACTGACATCTTGAGCAGTTGAGTACTCCGTCGGTGGGATCTGGCTGTACCTCTTGATAGGGGGGATCTGAATTGCAGGGCACCCAGTTGGTGTTTGCTAAGGAATTGCTTGTTTTGTGTGGTACTCTACCAAGCTACATCTGGCTACAGAAGTGTGCTGCCTGGAATGTAGAGGAAAAAGGAAACCATGTTTTTATCTCGTATGTTAGGCACGTAAACAGTCTGGTTTTATGGCACACGCTCCTGGGCAAGAATGTTTTTCATTAAGTGAAAACTGTAGGGGAGTGGTTATGTGATGTTAGAATATTTAGAATCAATCCCTTGTGAGAGGATACATATTTTAAGATCACTCCAGGGCTTGTCTGAGACCCAGAGATCTACATTTACAAGGCCCCCAGCTGAATCTGTTACAGGTGGTCTGAGAGCTGAGGGTGCTTTGAAAAACATGACCACTGAGACTAGCCTAAGCTCGCTTGAATCTTCAAGGTACTCAGGAGAAAGCTAA